TGAACCAAGAGCTTGTAACACTCCAAAGAGAAAGGAAAACTTGAAATCGCATCATATGACCCCTTTAACATTAAAATCACAGGTGAGGCTTCAGGTTTTAGGCTAAGAACACCTATTTCTCATGATAAAATCACTGTAACGCTTGATTTCATCCTCACGTCTCCTGCTTTACCCATTTCGTTTGCTTGTGTTCCTCTTTTCCAGCCCCCTTTCCCATCTCTTGCTCTCTTTAAAGGGGTCATATGATGTTGCTAAAAAGAACAGTATTTGGTGTAATGAAATGTCCTAATACCTCAAGCGTGTGACGGAAATGTTACGCCCCTCACCATACTGTGATGCCCTGTCAGGCCGAAGCGACGATTCAAAAACATGAAAACCCATTATGACCCCTTTAATGCTTTCCATTTTTTTGCCAAGTACAGGAACGTAAGTCACTCACTCTCTCCAGTCTTTTAAATTCTTTCTCTCTCTCTCGTCCCCTCCCCCTCTGTCTTCTGCTGGTCTCTTCTGATCTGTTCTGCTCTCCCTCCCCCTCTTGCTGCAGTGTTACTGCTAATGTATATTAGCATCACTGCAGTCCTCCACTGCTCATCCCTCTCGTTCTCTCCTTCTTTTACTCTCTCTCTCTCTCTCTCTCTCTCTCTCTCTCTCTCTCTCTCCTTCAGCTTCAATTTCCTGTTCAGTGCTAATAGTATTTTTACTTCTCAGTGTGTTGTCTTATTTTGCGCAGGTTTTGTGTGACATGCGTTCACACACACACATGCACATGCTCGGGTAATTATACCTTGTCTCCCTCACGCTGTGTGTCAGGATTTCTCATACTGCTCACATGATCTCTAAACCCTGTTTTTTCTTGCCTTTGTGCTCTTTTTCTGGTCGTATTTCTCACCTTCTCTTTGTGAGCCCCCCTTCCAAAAAATAGAAAGAAATAAATGCAGTAAAACGTCACCAGTGCTGCAAGAGCAGTTCTGGTGCCTGCTTTATACACACACACACGGCACAGTAAAACATTAACCCTATCAGTTCTTCAGCACCTTTTCTTTTAACTTTTGCATGTTTTTTTATATAGTCATGACATGCACATTTATATTCCTTATCATTTAATCAATATTTTCTTTATTTTTAATATTTTCCTTATATTATTCTTTAAAACCATCAAAACACAAAATTGGTGTAGAAACAATTTTCACTCTAAATTACACAACAAGTTACAAAGAATCAGCAAGTACCACATTGAATTAAACATAGAATGTTTAAGTAGAAAGACTAAAATAGTGTAAAACATACGTATGTACAACTTTTAAAAATATTTTTTACAGTGCATAATTATGTAAAATCTGATTCAGATGAAAGTCTGATTTTTTTAATGCATATTTTAAAAATACTTTACTGTGCCCAGTTGTTGTTTTCTCTACCCTTAACTCATTTGACATCATCTTTTCTTTTTGTTTGCCAAGTTTCAGTAACCCTTTCTCGTCTGAACGCTGCAGTACTGCTGCTGATATCAGCTCAGTTCAAACTTCGTGAGTCTGCATTTATTTTTTCTTCAACAAAAAGCTCGTGTTTTCTTCAAATTTTTGCTCAAATATCTTTCCCCTCGACCTCTGTGGCACCTTTTCTCACTTTTCCTCCATCATGCACATTCGCTTATCTCACTTTTTTTATTGTTTTCTTTCATAATCCCACCTCTGGGACCATTTAAATATCACATTATTTCATTAACATGCTCTCTAAGTCATATTTATGCACCTGAACAGCCTTAAACTCACTATTTTTATGGTGAATTACATGCATTAATCTGAAAGCTCTGCAACAAAATCACTTTTATTCTGTTTTATTCTTCCTAGTTTTTTATAAGGACAAGTACAATATTTTAACTTCAGACTCTCTTTTGGATGCCCATGAATTTAAATAATATAACTAGTCAGAGGTTCAAACAGATCTTCTGTTTAAAGTTTAAAAACAAGTTAACTACGCTGTAGAAACTGATTTTGCAAAGTTGCAAATAAAACAAAGATTATTGGAGCGTTTGACAAAAAAAATGCTTTTCTTTAAGATTTCATGTTTAATTCAATGTGATACTTGACAATGTAATTGTGAAATTTACTAGCAATTTCTAAGTTTCTATACCAATTTATTTTCAGTGTAGTGTGCATTACTTAATGCTGATGCTATTATACTATATTAAGCATACTAAACTTACCAAAACAGTATATTCTAAATATCAACACCACAACTAGACTGAAAGAGTTTTTCCATTGCAGTCTTTGCATACAGTTGCTATAAGTGAATAAAGTCTTACCTTTAAAATTTTCAACCTCTTTCTTGACTTTCTTTCTATCTTCCTCTTGCTCAAGCTGTCTAAATGCAGTTCTGCGAGGGTTGACTAACTTTCTCCAGACTGCCTAAAAAAAAAAAATAGAATAGACAGAAAGGAAAGTGACAGAAAATGGAGGAAATGAGTTTCAAGCTGACAAAAAGTGTTAAAACAAAATGATAAAACAGGAAAAATGGATAAAAAGAGGCAAAAAGACTGATGGAAGAGGAAAAAAGCGAAATGAATGCTTGCGAAATGAAATGAAGGGGGAATAGGCTTAAAGGAGGTGATGTACAGTAGTAGAAAAGAGAAAAGTAAGTGATGCTGGACTCTAGAGTCGTTCTCAGTGAATTGCGATTCCTTAATGCGGAATTGGAGAGCAAGGGATGGGTTTGGGTGGAGGGGGGGGTTAGGGTTGATGGAAGAGAGGAGGAGAAAAGGTAAGGGGGGGACAAACAGAGACGGGATAGGATCAGAAAAAGAGCAAAATGGAATGAAGTAGCCTAATACTTTAAAAGCAACTAAATCAGAAGCATTTCAAACAGGGCTCTTTTCTACAGTAACACACAGATGAAAGGGAGAGAAGAAATGAGCGGATGCACAAAGTCAGGTTTTTACTGCAGCAAAACTGCACTGTTCTCTCCAAACCTCTCTCGCCCTCTCTCTCTCTCTCTCTCTCTCTCTCCCTCCACCCCCTCCTGCTCTGTGACGCTGAGCTACAGTTCTGTACTGCTGTGTGTGCATAATGAGCACCTTTCTATCTCTCTCTGTCTCTCTTTCTCACTTCTGTTCCCCCATGAAGCTGCAGTGAAGCTCTTGACTTATTAACTGCTTCATTTAAAGAGAAAGAGAGACTGAGGGAAAGAGAGACAGATAGAATTTTAATCACTCGCAATAGTCTCTCACCCTCAGTTGCATCTTGCAGTGGCATTGCTTCATGATTTGCGGACCAAAGGACATTTGAAAGCAATACGCCTGATTGAGAGATTGATATAGTATCTGTAGTTGACGTGCACAGGCTATTGATGCTGTTACATTCAATTATATATTAAATACATCTTAATTTTCATGCATTGACTTTCAACATGTTAAAATCACATTTTTTTGCAGTTTAAATGCTATTTTGTGATTTTTGATGCGTTGAGACGAAATAATGCATAATTGTTTGATTGCCAGTTATATAATGCTCAAATGCTTGCATTCTGTTGTCTAGTAGCTCTTCTTTGTTTTTCTCACATAATAATCGCTTCTGCTTGCATTATTGTAATTTGCAAGCTGCATTAGATAAAAGCATCGTCTAGACCAGGGGTAGGCAAGTTCGGTCGTAGAGAGCCGCAGTACTGCGGCTCTCTAGGACCGAACTTGCCTACCCCTGGTCTAGACGAATAAATGTTAATCTCATTTCGGATAACTTGTGTTAAGGGACTATTGATCTTATGATCCTGTTGTTTATTGTGTCCTGTGTGTTCAAAATGATTTCAAAACCCTTTTTTAATCCACCAAACGGTTCCATAACAGTGATATGTGATATGCTTTGATCATTTTGGAGATGACTAGTTGACACAAAATACTCTTGGGAAGTCCTGCAGTTTGAGATGCCACCTCTAAAACTATTTTAAACAGCCGTATTTTATAAGTATTATGCATATGCAGCTTGTATATTAATTCAGGGACTGCACGTAATAGTAATATTTGAAGGGAAAAGGTGATTAAATACTGTACATGACCTTCTCTCTTAAAATAAAAGCTTCTTTACTGGCATTGATGGTTCAGTGAAGAACCTTCATCCAAGAATCTTTATAGTGAAAGAAGGTTCTTTAGATGATTCAAATGTTCTTCACATTAAGAAAAAATGGTTGTTTTAAGAACTGCTCACTCTGAAAGGTTCTTTTTGGGAACCTAAAATGGTTCTTCTCTAGCATAACTGCAAACACCCCCTTTTGGAAGCTTTATCTTGAAGAGTGTATGACATCCATGCATTGAAACTCTTGATGCTGATGTCATACTGATGTTTAACATGCGTCAATCACACGCACGCATGAAGCAACTTTAGCCAAAAACATGCAAGGTCACATGGCAACCTTTATATCACTGCAGTATTTTTGGCATATCAATAGCGGGACCCCTGTATGATGTGTAAGATCCCCTCCATTTTTACCTGTACTAAACATCTCCCCTCTTTCTCTCCCCCCTCCCTCCTGTCCCCCCGCAGACCGCTCCTCTCTCCTCCCCTCTCCGTTTTTTCTCCTCCTCTTCCTTCCCTATGCTCAGTTCGGTGTGTGTCTCCTCATTCAAAGGGCGCAAGGGTGGGAACAAGTCGTCCAACAAAGCATGTTACAGCGCCGACATGACTTGCCCGTCGGAAAGCGAGAAAATCGTCATCAACTGCGGCGGCGTGAGGCACGAGACGTACCGGAGCACCCTGAAGACGCTGCCCGGGACGCGTCTGTCGTGGCTCACTGAGCCGGACGCCTTCAGCAACTTCGACTACGACCCGAAGTCCGACGAGTTCTTCTTCGACCGGCACCCGTCCGTCTTCTCGTTCATCCTCAACTACTACCGGACGGGCAAGTTGCACTGCCCCAACGACGTGTGCGGCCCGCTGTTCGAGGAAGAGCTCGCCTTCTGGGGCATCGACGAGACCGACGTGGAGGCGTGCTGCTGGATGAACTACCGGCAGCACCGGGACGCGGAGGAGGCGCTGGACAGCTTCGAGACGCCCGAGCCGGAGGTGCCGGAGGACGACCCGGCGCTCGCGGGGGACGGAGACCTGAAGCGGCTCTGCCTGCAGGAGGACGGCAGGAAAGTGGGCTGGTGGCGCGTGTGGCAACCCCGGATCTGGGCGCTCTTAGAGGACCCCTATTCGTCCAAATACGCGCGGGTGAGTGTTCAGCACCTCTTTACGCATGGACAGCTCCTCACGGCGTGTGCGGCCCGCTGTGCGAGGAGGAGCTCGCCTTCTGGGGCATCGACGAGACCGACGTGGAGGCGTGCTGCTGGATGAACTACCGGCAGCACCGGGACGCGGAGGAGGCGCTGGACAGCTTCGAGACGCCCGAGCCGGAGGTGACGGACGACGACCCGGCGCTCGCGGGGGACGGAGACCTGAAGCGGCTCTGCCTGCAGGAGGACGGCAGGAAAGTGGGCTGGTGGCGCGTGTGGCAACCCCGGATCTGGGCGCTCTTAGAGGACCCCTATTCGTCCAAATACGCGCGGGTGAGTGTTCAGCACCTCTTTACGCATGGACAGCTCCTCAGTCTAGCGCTTCGGTAACTTACTTTAACCCGTGGTGGTGGGCTGATCGTTGAAACCATTAACTTAGAACCTGATTCGAGACCCTTATTCTTCAAAGTACTGTACGCATGGACTAGTTTGGCTGAAAGGTTTTAGGTTCAAACCCCAGATGCCCTTGAGTTTGAGCGTAATGATTTAGAAAATCTAGGCACTTTTTCGAATGGACAAATCTATAGTAGGCTATATATTCTTTTGTTACGCACTACCTTTATTGTTTGCAAAATGATAATGAAACTTTAACGTTTGCATAAAAAATAAACATTTTACATTTTAAAACCTGGACATTTTGAATGTTCAAAAACATATTTATAACCTAATGTGAACGTTATTAAAACAGAACATACTTTTATCTGGGTTAACATAAGGGGATGTAGCCTTGTAGTAAAATAACTTGGTTGGAATCTGAAAGGTTTTGGGTTTAAATCCCAGATTGTGCCCTTGAGTTTGAACGTACTGATTTAGAAAACCTAGACAATTCTTCGAATTTTCAAATCCATACTGTTAACCCACTGAACTAACTTACATTTCCCAGTTTCCCAGCTAACAGGGAACATTCTTATAACGGTCTGGTAAGGTTCTTTCAAAGTTTTGAACGAACATTCATTCAGTAATATTAACATATAATGTTCATTCAAAGTTATCTTTTTTTAATGACATTCTCAAAACATTAGCACAAAAATGTATGCATCATTAAAGGAACATTTTCTCTGAAACAGTTTTATTTGGATGTTCATCTAACATTTTTTTTTAAGTTACTTGTTTCAAAACATTCAGAGAACATTCAAAAGTAACTTTCCCATAATGTTTGCATTATGATAAAATGTAACATTCCCTTAATGTTTTTGCTAACATTCGCCTAAGAAAAAACTTTTAAAAATAAAAAAAACATTAAAAAGGAACATTTTGAATGTTCAAAGAACATTCATAAATGTCTTGTTTGGAAAAGTTGAAACTGAAAGATTATAGGTGCAAACGGCACAAGCATTGATCAAAAATCATTTTGTCCTTTGAATAAAACATCTAACCTCAGGCAATTAGTGTACTGTAAGTAACTTTGGATGGAAGCATCAACTAAATGAGTAATTAGTAAATCTGTGCAGTCTCCTTCCTTCACAAGGTGTGCTGAAAACGTACCTGATTGTGATCACAGCTCCTTGGTTTATACCTCAGTAATCTCAAATTGCTGCTAGTTAGTAGGATATAAGATGAAAGTTAGTTGGTTGAAACCTCTGAAGGGTTGTTCTCTTGTACATTTCAGATTGTTTTTACTTAATTAGTAAATCCAGATGCTCTCTATTCCTCAGAATATGCATTGGTGAGTGTGTGTAACTTCGTCGTTTAACCTACTGTAACGTGATTCAGCCTAGTGGTTAAAATCTGGGTTGGTAATTGAAAGTTTGTAGCCATGAGCGTTGAACCATCATTGTGCCCTTGAGCAAAGATATGTCATTTAATAGATGTACAGTAAGTGGCTTTGGATGAAAGTGTCAGATAAATGACTAATGAGTAAGTAATTGTGTTTGGGAGTACTTAAAGATCTGAGCTAATAATTGAAAAGTTGGTACAGGTCACATTAGATGAGTAATTAGTGCAGTAACGGATGTTTGCAGTTCATCCTTCATCCTCAGACTGTTGCAGTGAGTGGATAAAGTTGCACGATTGCAGTTATCAGTCAAAGTGAAATCAGCACTGCCAGTGGATATTCCCCCAGAATCACACACTGCACCACCATAAACACCAGCCTCATATTTATGTGTGTAATTGCATGTTATAGTGTGCCATTATGCACACGCTCTTTGTTTCAACTGTTTTAAATTGTTGCACCAACCACAAAACCGTTACTGCATTTATAGCCCATAAACCCTCTGCTCTTATTAATCTTTAATGCTTCCGATGCCCGACGCAGCAAACACAGACGCTTGTTTCTTAATCGCGTCCTTGGTAATTTTCATTTAAATGCGGGCTTGTGTTGTTTTGAGCTAATAACGGATGCTTACGTTCAATGTGATGCGATTATAACCACTGATATGGGAGCTGCTGCAGAGACAGGGTGCATTTGATTGATACTGCATGAATATAATAGACTATCACTCATATTTTTGCCCTGAGACATGGTCAAATATTTGAAAACAAATGCCCTAGTGTGTTCATACACGGTGTGGATGTATCAGATTCTGCTGAGGAAGTGACTCGAGGTTGTGTTACAGGAATTTTCTTTTTTGTATATATAGAAAATCTATGTCCCATTTATCCACGTTGACTCACATACAAGTCAGTTTATCAGCATATTTGCTGATTATTGCATGCTGTAGATTGTCTTTCATGTATTTTAGATGAAATTGAGATGCATGGCTAATTTAACATCTTATGTCATAGAGGAGCTCTCATCTTCCTAGTTGAAACCAGATATAATGTCCATAAAAGCAACATCTGTGTATATATTATACATATACATAGTATGTGTGTGTTTGTGTGTGCTAAATCCATCTGATTTAGACATGGCTTATACCTGGGGAATGCATCTCCATTGTCCAAATGTCACTGGCAGGTCAATATTTGCCACAGTTCATTCACCGTGTTGTCAGCCGGGGTTTACTGTATAGTTGTTGGCGTGTGCATGCAAGCATTAACATGCATGTAGTCGCATATAGTACACACAATCTTAAGTGGTCGAATGAAGGTTTTTTAATGTCCATTGCCGAGAGAGCAGGGCGACCGATGTAGATATACTGTATGGAATGCAGTTGTATTATAAGATGCTCAATTTAAATGACTTATTTTGGGCTTTATTCATAAAAATAAGGACAACAAATTTCTGAGTAAATTATTTCTAAATCCATTCATACATACTGTTTAAAAGTTGTTTTCTTTAATTTTTTTCTGAAAGAAATTAACACTTTCGTTCATCAAGGATGCATTAAATTGATCAAAAATGACAGTAAAGACATGTATAATGTTACAAAAGATTTCTATTTCAAATAAATGCTGTTCTTTTTAATGTTCTATTCATCAAAGAATGCTTGTATCACATGATGCATCACAGAAAAAAAAGTATCACAGTTTCCACAAAATATGAAGCAGCATGACTGTTTTCAAAATTGTTAATAATCAGAAATGTTTTTTGATCACAGGAATAAATCACATTTTAAAGTTATTTTCAAAAAGAAAAGTTATTTTGAATTGTAATATTTCACAATATTACTATTTTAGACTTCTTTTGAGAACATAACAAAACTTTTATACAGTAATATAAATTGAAACTGAATTTTCAGTGCAACAATTTAGGTAACAGTTTTATGTACAATTTAGACATTACTTTTGCTCATGTTTCATGAATATTTTACAAAATGTATTTTATTCAAAATTAATTTATTACATTTATTTTTGTAATTTTATTTATTAAACATGTAATTGTTTATGAAAACAATGTAACACATTTCTGAGTAAATCATTCTTCAATTTATTCATACATAAATTGAATTCCATTGAACTGAATTGAATTGACTCAATATTTACTCAAAATTCAGAAAAAAAATCTTTGTGCTAAAATATCTGCCAAATTATTTCAGTTTAGTGGCAGTAAATAAGATACACTTTTTCAAACTTATTCATAAAAATAAGAAGAACAAATTTTCGGTAAATCACTGATAAAACCATTCCTGCATAAACTATGCTGTTTACATTTAATTACATGCACCAATTTACATAATGATTTTGTCTGTGATTTACGCAGAAATTCATACTGCTCATGTTTCACAAATAATGCTTATTTGTTTTACCATATTTATGCAAAACTCTCAAAAAAAAATTGAAACTAAAGATAATGCTCTGTCAAGTGCAAACACAGTTTCTCAGAAAGCATTTCAGCAGTGTGACTTTGCTCGGTTTCTCTCCGGTCATGCATTAGGACATGACAGCGCTCTGTAACCTACACTCAAATCTAGGAGGACTAGACAAGACAAAGAGACATGCTTGTAAAAAAAAGAGGCAGAGGAAGGATTCAGATGTGAATGGAAGGATATTGTTGGCATGATTTAAAGCTGCTCGCTATAGATTCATGGGACGGGTGAAGTGTGAAACATTTATGAGCCAAGTGATAATCTGCATGTTATTCACACCAACAGCAGTCCAACACACATGAAGCTTGAACACACACTTACGCGCAACACTGCCGCAATACTGCTCACTAGCAGCCCGAGCTGTGCACTAGAGCAAGACATGAACGAGAGAGGGTCAGATGTAAGGAATATGAAGGGAAAAAAAGTGTGCTGGAGGAAGCAGAGCCGTGAGAGATTGAAGGAGATGGACATTTGAGAGGGGGAGTGGCTGGAAATGAGAGCATGGGGGTTGAGGAATGCTTTATGGATTCATTTTAACATCTTCAATTATGACTAAAGGCACCGGATGCCTTCCTCCCCCACTTCTGTGGTCTATTGATTGATCGTTTATCGATCGCTTGGATCTTTGTCTCACTGAAGGCATGCGATCTGCGCACCGGATGCCTTCCTCCCCCACTTCTGTGGTCTATTGATTGATCGATTATCGATCGCTTGGATCTTTGTCTCACTGAAGGCATGCGATCTGCGC